GCCGCTTGACGTTATTCAGTGCAACTTCTTGAACAGACTGTATTTGCCTGTATATTAATTTTAAAGGAATTGTTAACACATTTTATGAATCTGGTAAAGGGGTGCCAATTTAGGAGGGGGGTTGCATTTGTTTTGTAAAGCAAAGTAAATAAATCACGACTTCCACAAGATAAAACTTTATTGAGCGGTAATAAACAGCAGAAATACTTCTAAAACCATTTAAAGCCACATAAAAAACAAAGCACAAGATGCTGACGGCTCCTGCATGAATTGCAGGTCAGGGTGCATGGACTTCTAGCAGTTTTCCTTATTTTCCACTTGGGTTGAGTAGACTTCGGGTGGCATTTTTTCCAAGGCTGAAGTCCTGGGATGGGTGTCTCAGGCAATAAGTGTCTGGCCAGTGCTGTGAATGTTGTTCCACTTGTTACGGGAGGAGTCGATTCCAATAGATGTCTTGCTCATGGGGTGCCAACACCAAAGGCAACTGCAGGAGACAGCTTGAGGCCTGTAGGCTACAGGCCTCTTCATTGCAAAGAGCCTGATAGCACCATCCCAGAGAGGTGTCTTAACACAGGGGAAGGACAAGGCAGCTAGCTATAGAAATAAACACTGTCAGTTTTAAGTAATACCTTCTTGAAAATGTTATTGCGATTATGCCAAAGGACACAACGGATACCTAGGCCAAGGTCAACTTGGATCTCTTCTGCTGCCTAGTTCTGAAAGGCAATTCAAAGCCAAGCCACTTGGATGAAAACCAGCCATCTCAACCTCTTTCTAATCTTGACTTCAAGCAAAGTCTGTAAGTAATTAGCTTAAACATTCAAATGAGAAGACCAAAGAATTTCATTTTTTAAATCTACATTACATATATATTTTACCATTTTGTTCATACAAATCTGAAAGTCTGATCACTTACTGGGTTGATTGCAAGTATTATTTGACTTGATATATGATGTGCGTGTGAATCATTTCAAAGCTTAAATACTTGTTTTAGTGTATTTCCTTTTCCATTTGCAATGCATTGATGTATGTTGCTAGAAATTTTATCAGCCTGCCTTGTAATAATGTGCTATTGAACAATGGTTTTAGGTTGCTTGTGGAATCATTCCCATTTCTGCCCCTGAATGCCACTGTACATGTTAAAATAAACCAGGTCTTCCAAAAGCTACCTCCTGTGTTGCCCACCCACCTGAATTTGGCCACTATTTTAAGAAAGGAGAGAAGGGGGAGTGCAAAGAAGAGGAAGTTTAGGTGTCCAGTGAAAAATAAAAAAACCCCTGTGCATTAATAGCCCCACCTGGTTGCCCGTCTTTCTCAGCCTGCTTAGCTGAGTCTCAAATACCTTCTGTCACTCTCTGGGATCTGTATCATTTCAGTCCTCCACCTCCAGCTCATGATATGTATGCTGGGGTTTTCCCTTTCTAGATGTCCACTGTCATTTGCGGGATAGTCAGGAGGTTTTTGGCATCCAGATCCACAGAGCAGTGGCAAGTCTGGGGAGCAGTCCCACATTTTCTCTTGGCCGCCTCTGCCTTCTGGTAGCGCTGCAGTTTCTTCTCCTTCACTTAGCATTGTCGCTGATTGTCTCTCATATTCAGCTTTTTGCATCTTCTTTGCAGTGTCCAAACAAGTGGCTTTATTCCTGTGGGAATTCTCTAGCTGTGCTTTTATCATCCGTTGTCCATGCCAGCAAAGAAATCTAGTACTTCTCTCTTGGCCCAGGCAGGCAGCAACATGAAGTTCAGTTGTAGCTTTATGTGGAAATATATCTCGGTGCTTGTAAACATGGGCTAGCTGGAAGACAGGCATTTTTAAAACATACTGGCTTTTAAAAAGAGGACTGGCTTCCAGTCACTGACTCTGGGGCAGCAGAGTTCAAATTATTACCAGAGTGGTCACTGGCTCAGTATGTTGTAGTGGAAGGGCCATCTTTCAAGTTGGACAGTGTTGGTTTTGGTCTCATGGCATTTGGAGAAGTTGGTTAACTTTACCAACATACACTCAGGATTGTATTTATAGGGTTAAATATTGAATGTGGACGCTTGTGAGGATATGATGATCTAGAGCAATTTTTACCAGTACAATTTTTGTAGTGTAGACTAGCTCTTATGAATACCTGTAACTTATAACATGAACGGCCTCTCCATTACAATGGGATCTACATGCAAAGTTTAAATGATTAAATGCTTCATTGCATCAGGATATTAGCACATGTACAGATTAAGTTCCCTGATACTGAGGGTTGTGATAGCTGACCTGAAATATGTGCAGCAATTCAGCTTGGACTCTCAGCTGAGCTTGCCCAGTTTTATTTAGGCTACAATTTGGAAGTCTTATGAGAACAGGCTTCTTTAACATGAGCAATTTTTATTCTATCTCGGTCAAATTTACTACAGAAACATTTTACCAAATTTCCTGGGTGAATCCTGACTCCATTCAAGCTAATGGCAAAATTCCCATTGATTTCAATTAGACCAGGACTTCACATTCCAAGTTTAGATGCTCAGATCCAAATATGAACTTCTTTAGTTGTAGGGTTTTGGTTTGGCCGGTAGTAGAAAGGACAGTTGGCTAAAAAAGTTAAAATTCTCTAGATGAAGGGATTATGATTCAGCATGTTGTTCTGACCCATTTTCTTTTCCTCCATGTATTTGGGAGTTTCCAGTATTGGCTGAAACCAGGAACTAAGGAGGTTTAGAAAAGCCTCAGAGAAAACTGATAGTTTGGGCAGAGGTTTGGGTTAGTCCCATTCCTGCCAAGTGAGCTCACTGAACTGCTACTCACAATTCAGAACTATCAACGTCCTAGAAATCAGAATGGGCAGAGAAACTTTCCTTCCCCGTCTGCTTTCTGGAGACACACAAGGAAGATGAAAGGACTGGTCACACTTTTTAAGTAAAAGATCTGCACAGTAATAGAGTAAAGTGAAAAAAAAATCACCCAGTTGTGAAAATCCCCATCAACTTTGGCATGAAATGGATAGGACTATATTCCCATGGGACACTATCCTACCTTTTCATTCCTCATACTCCTTCCGGAGTGGATTCCAATAAGCCTGTTCTCTGGCATATAGTATATGTTTCCATCAGCTGATTAAGGCCAGTTTGAGCATTGTATGTTAAGTGCCAGTATAAAAGAGATACAAGATAAGAAACTGTTTATATATGACAAAAAGAACACATTTTAAAGGATGTTGAAATGGAATTATAACAGAGAGATGCAAAAAGGGGTGAAATTATGCAGGATAAACGATGGAGGAATTTTATTACTAAGCTGACTGCGTTATAAATCAAGTACTCTGTAAATGCAATAAAACAATTGTTTAGTCTGCATGATTCATACCACAAACCTCAGTATTCTGTGTTTTGATCTTATTGCAGCAATAAACTGTCTAGACAGCAATTAACAAACTGTTTTTCCTTCAGATGTTTGGAGTGCCATTGCTGCCTGATCGGCACTCAGAAATACAGGGCTTTCTCTTCTATTCCTATTAATTATCAGGTTGAGTGGGGCGCCCAGCTAGCCATTCTCTATAATTGTCCATTCTGTCTCTTTAAGAAGATTGCTATAGGAAAAATACTGATAACCCAGTTTCTCATTAAAATACTGATAACCCAGTAGTTAGTACATACAATTATAATATATTTTACAGCTATATTTTAGAAAACACTTTATAGTACATGCTAGTAATTCATATAAAGCAGCAGTTCTCCAACTTTTTGGGACCAATCTGGTCAATCCTCCAAATTCATCACAGACAATTATATGTTCTTATGACCTAACTTTTCATTGAAAAGTTGAACGGTAGGGGAGGCCGGTATAATTTAGGAAACACTTGCCGTGGCTTTGCGGATAATCTGTGGCCTGTGGACTGCCCTTTGGGAGCCTCTGATTCAAAGATTTGGGCTTGGACCCCCCCAAAAAGTGCATGATCATATGCCTACCCTTAAAGCATGTGAGCAGCTTTAGGATAATTTGCATATTTAATGTCTGACATGTGATAAACTACCTTGCTGAAGTGGCACTATATTTAAGTAGCTGTATATACCAAAGAGTACTGGAAAGTGTTATTCTGTCTAACTCTTAGTTCATCTTTTCCATGGTAACTCTGTAAAGGACAGTCCTTATCCCAAAGAGTTTACAGCTTTTGGCACTACCATATTATCCTCTTAATCTTACAGATTGCTACATATCAACAGAAGGAGAAACAAAACAGTTCCTAGAGTTTGTACTTCTAG